TATCCTTCCAGGATACCATCCACTCTTTCCCGTAACTCTAAACGCGGTCTCCCGCGCGAGATTGTACACAAACGCCTGCAAACTATAGGTGTGGTTTAACCACACAACGACCACTGCTCGCTATTTAACCTTTTCTGACCCCGTTTCGAGATGAGAATTTTCACTGTCTTACTCGAGGTCTCTGTCCAAGAAACCAATCGATAGAAATCTGTAGCGAATCGATATATTTCGATGGGAATTGCTCTTAAGGAATCGTGATCTTTTCGATTCTCGGAAGATTGGGGGGTGAGTGCCGAGAGGTCAAACATAGTCCTCTTACCAGGAGAGGACTGTGTTTGTCACCGTCGTGGCCAGATTCTCTTTTTATTGTAACATGTTCCAAGTTTATTCGGTCGTAAAGCGTGGAAAACTAAATAATGACGAGCTCAGTTTGACCGATTATTTTGTTTCTAACAAAGTGCTGTTGCATGCAAAATAGCAAATTACAGACGAAATTCAATGTTCTTGTTATTTCGTGATTTATCCTATTTACTATCATTTTAACAAGACTGTAATTTCGTAATTAACTCTATTTACTCAGATTTTAACAAGTTGTTTCATAACATATTATCTTTACAGTATAAAGTACAGAGTGATGAGCAAAATGCGCAAAATTTTTCAATTCGTCTCAATTGAAAAACGTTCTGTCCAGAGATTAATCTTAATCTAAACGAGAAAAATTTTATTTTAACTTCTCTCCTTCTTACATTGTGAATATAACAATTTATTTGCGAATATAATAATCTATGTATACATCGATGTTACGTTTCTATTTTCTCATTTATATAAAAATTCGTCACGTTAGGAACGTATGTTTTGCTTTATTTTCTCGACGAAGTATGAACGAAGATGCATCGACGGAAATTATTCCGAGTAAAATTAGAAAATTAGACTTTTGTGACTAATTTTTTTAAGTTATAAATTTTCTCGTTTCCTCGGCGAAGAAATTGTTCTGGATAAAATAAGAATCTTAGGCTTATAACCCAAGTTATAGCTTTATAATCGATCTGTTTGTGTTATAAACTTTGTATGTAGTTATATTCGATTTGACAGAGGATAGTGCATTATATTATAGTTGCACTGCGCTATAATTTTCATCTATTTAATCCGGATCCAGTTCGGTAGATCTGAATCACGATACGTAAAAATCACGACCGCGGTTATCGACAAGCGCTATCACACACGCGCGCGACAAGATGAAGGATAGGAAGCATCGATAAAGGAAGCTTCGGTCGGCGGTGAAGAGAGATTAAATTTGAATGCGGTGTCCTGACGGGCAGAAGCAGCCAAGGTGGCAGCGTAATCGAATGATATTCAAATTTAAATGGCCAGCGCAATAAAGTGTTTAAGAATTTAAAACTTTATTTGACTTTCAAAGTGACTTCTCCCCCCTCCCGGCCAAGACTCGGCCCTCCACTTACTCAGCGACCCGGCAACGAAGACTTCCCAGTTAATTTCGCATTTCGTCGCTTTTACCGGCTTCCTACCACTCGTTCCAAGGCTTCTTCTTCCTCCTCCTTCT